TTGGTTTTCCACTCAACTATTTATGCACATTTTGTTTTATAACATTAATTTCAATTTTGTTGTTGTTTTGTGCTGTCAAGTCACTTGCAAGTCATAGCAGCCCTATGTACAAGAGCCCTGAAACCTGTTCTATCCTGTGCCAACTTTATTGTCTCTGACACATCTACATTCATTATCCCAGTCACTTTATCAATCCATCTCAACAATGATCCCCTTCTCTTTCTCTGTCCCTCCACATTTCCAAGCATGATGACCCTCTCCAAGGACTGGTCATGCCCAAAATATGTCAGATGAAGCTTCAGAATCCTTGCCTCCAAGGAGCAGCCCAGCTTCACCCTCTCTAGGATGAACCTGTTTGTTCTCCTGGAAGTTCATGGTATATTAACACTCTTCTCCAGCACCACAACTCAAAGCCAAAAATTCCCTTCCTATCATCCCTAGTCTTGTCCAGCTCTCTGATGCATAACAAGCAATTGTAAAGACTATGGCTTGGATCAGGCGCACCTTAGTTTCCAGACTGACATCATTGCTCTTCAGTTCTCTGGAGAGGTCCTTGACTTTCCCAGTGCAATTCATGTCTTGATTTCCTGGCTGCTGGCACCAAGAGTGTTGATTATGGAGCCAAGCAAATGGAAGCTGTTAACAATCTCAATCTTTTCACCATCTATCATAATGCTGCCAATCAGCCCAGTAGCATCATCATGAAAAACAGTGAGTGCTTCTTTACCATTTCATTTGTGTCTATGAGATGAAAGCACTGATACAAAGAGTATGAATATAAAATTTAGAGCAAACCAATCATTCATGTGTTCCCAGTTACTGCAAAAAGAAAAACAAAAAAACAAAACCAAACCCCAAAAGCAAACCTACTCAGGAACACTTGTAAGTGCTCTCTCTCAATTTCAATGGAATTAATGATGACATTTAGCTGAAGGAGTGGTTAGTTGTGATGAGTTCATATAGTGTTTAGAGTACTCTACAATGACATTTGTTAAATCTGGAGCAAATGTGGGGCAACACATGGCAAATAGGCTATTCAGTGATGCTTCTGGAACTTCTAAATGAGATACACTGTACCAATTTCACAGCAGTAAGTGAGGAGTTTCAATGTTAGGTGATTACATGAAAGTTCATGAAGATTCATGAGAATTGCCTCTTGCTCTTATAAATGCCTGATTTCATTCCTTTCAACTAAATATCCCCTTAGACAGGAAACTATCCCATAAGACAGAATCAATTATCTTCATCATCATCATCATCACCTCATCAAGATTATTTCTTGAACACTAGCTATATGCAAACACTGTGCTGAACACTTGAATATATTTTCTCAGCTAATATTAACAATAACATTCTGAGGTAAATAATATTATTTCCATTTTCTAGATGAGGAAACTGAGGCACCAAGAGTTCTAAGACTCAAGCTTACATTCTTTCCACTAAACTTTCCCGGCTTCCCTACTAGAGATAGGAAAGAACATAGTCATTTGACTCCTTGGTTTTCACCAGTGAATCTCCACAGAGGGGTTCACACCTAAGCACAACAATTATCATTCTAGAACAACAAGAAAAAATAGAAAAGCAAATTAAAAATCTAAATTTGAAAACTCTGTCTTAAAGAGAACACTCTCTCCCCTCCGAATATAGATTGCATTTTCCACTGCTGCCTAGTCGAGACCAAACTCATAGTGACCCATCAAATTTATAGGAGGCTATAAATCTTTATGGTAGGAGACTATCTAACTTTCTTCCAAGAAGCAGTTGCTGGATTCCAACTACAGACCTCTTGGTTAGCAGTCTGGGAAGTTATACACCTTATCAAAATTGCTACTGAGTCAGAACCAACTCATAGCTGACCATCCATTGGGTTTCCCAGGTTGTAAATCTTACAGGAGGAGACTGTCCAATTTTCCCCCTAGGAGCCACTGGTGAATTAGAATTGCCAGAGAGGTACAGCCTTTGGATTAGCAGCACAACTCTTTATGGGTGAGGACTCTAGATAGCTCTTTAAATATAGATTTGTGTAGGTGAACTGATACTTTAAAAAAAATAAAAAAGGAGCAAGAATGCTTCAAATATTTCCAAGAATCAATTGTGGGTTCTGAGATCTTCTCCTACCCTCCACCCCCACCCTCTCACCTCCTGCCACCCCACCCCACCCCACCTCAGCCTGCTGCTCAAAACCCCTCACTACTGGGAATACTGAATCATGGATTTGGCTTCTAACTCTAAGAATTTACCCTAAGACCTTGGGTAAGTCATTAAGCTTGTACTGTTTCAGTTTATCCATTAATAAAATGAGAATAACTAAGCAAATGAACTGTCTCACAGAGATGTTTAAAAAAACAAGTAATCCTGAAACAACAGCCACAATACATTGGCTTTTTATAAGAAAAGCTACTGTAAATGAATACACGACTAACTCCAAGCAGAGGACTTACTCCTCAATGAAAAACAGAACGTCCCAGATAATCACCATTGTTTATGTAGGGTTGGGATTCTTAGGGTCTACAACTCTCTTTGAAGATGAAGGGGGGTGGGGAATGGCTCCTGAACTGTATAATCGAGAATAAACAAAAAAGAGAAATCTGAAGGGTAGTAAGTGGCCAAAATAAGCTACAAGGACTCATTCATTCACGTATCCATTCAGCAAATATATATATTGAGCCTCTTCTTTGTACTAGAGCTGCATTTCAACTTTTCTGATGGATCCAGAATAAAACTTGGACCAAGCCCAGAAACCAGAGACTATTCCAGCTGTGGCCCAGTGCTCAAGGAACTCTGGAAAGGGGCAGTCTGAAAATTATCAAGTCTGTTACTGCTGTGAATTCTACTTTCCCAGTTAAAAGTAATAATCCCTCCATTTCCTCCAAATGCCTGGAGCACAGAAACACACACACACACACACACACACACACACACACACAGTGACAGAGCGAGATAGAGAGTGAGAGACAGAGAGCGAGTGAGACAGAGAGCGTGTCCGAGTCAGGTTCTGCACTGCTGTGTTAGGCTAATTTAAGTATGTCTCTTCGTATGATATGAAATCATCATGTTTGTTTTGTCCATCTCTCACAAGACGATAACAGCCCCACTCCTAAGGAGAAAGCCTACGGTAAACCCATTTGTGACTAGTACTCCTGTGAGTTCCTGCCAAGCTGCTAGGAAGATTCTCAGTGACTCCATCTTAGTTGGATTACCTGCAGAGCTTAACACTATCCATAGGGTGCAGCTTGGGGGTCCTCTAAATCAGTTGAGCAGAGTCTGGGGTGTATGAGCTCAGACCCAGAGGAAGAAGCCAGAGCTATCTGAGAATATTTTCTGAGCATCTCCAATTTGTCTAGTTTCCATATACTGAAGAAGCATAGCCAGTTTCCAAGGCAGGGGAAAGCTAAATAATATGCAAGGTGCACGCACTTACAAATATATATGCAAATGCATACATGTCAAGATAAAAAAATATAGAGGCATTTTCCCTCTATCTTTCTTACCTGACCCTCTTTGAACCCTTTGATGGCTTCTGTTGCCCCACCCTTCACTCCCTTCCCCAGTGCAGGCTTCTTCAGATACTCATTTTGACCTGATTTCAATTCCATCTGGTCAAACACACTGAGAGGAGGGGAGGAAAAAAGAGGTAACACACTGGGATTTGTCCAGCTAGAGCTGGACCTTTGAATCCCAGTCACCCATCTCCTACTCTAAGGTGACCCTCTGGTAAGGGAAACAGAAAGCATCAGCTCAAATTCTGAGACAAAAGCCAGAGCTGCCTATAAACATTTTCAGAGCATCTTCAATTTGCCAATCTCCATCCATTTTCAGTTCACATTGAGGGGCTTTGGAAGGCTCCACAGTGGGTTCCAGAAGAGCCTTCTATTCCTCTCAATGTGCGGGGCTATTGCTCCCTTTCCTCAGCCCTAACAGGAGTCCCTCTTGCCTCTTCTTTTTCTCCCCTAAGCTCCTTTCCTTCTTGACCTTGAGAACCCAGTCCTGGGCTCCCTCCTGTTACTGGTAGCCTGGTAAAGGCAGTGAGAAGTAGGTTCCCTTGTGCTGTGGCAGGGAAAAGTGACAGAGAGGGGAGAGGCATGAGACTGAAAGTGCTGGAAAGATCCCTTGCCATTGCCTAGTACTCCACAGCAGAAGAGCAAGTCCCCATCACGCTCAACTGAGGCGGGCAGCCCAGCCCCCAGGTTGCAGAGGAGATGTTCTGGCCAGTCACCTTTGGTGATTCCAACTCTGCAGAGGGCTGGGCCCAGAGTATCCACCGGAAGCCAGATGGAGATTACAGATAGGTTTGTAGGGGAGGGAAAATAAGGCAGACTTCACAGATTTTGCAAATTCACGTCCCCTCCAAATGCAGCCCAGCAAAAAAGCAGGCACCCAGTGACCTTTATTTCGGCGCTGCTTTGTTTTAAGGATACAGATAAGATTCCCAGGCGGCTAGGAAAACACACTCAGTTGTGGGCAAGGCTAAGGAATATCTAGGTAGTCCCTCAAAACTGCAGGGTTTTTGTAGTCCCGTCTCCAGCTTTCCCTCCTTCCCCTTTGTTCTTCCCTAAGATAAATAAACTCTCTAGCTTGCTAAACTCTTTGCTCCAAGGCAAGGAATTGAACTTATAGATTGGGTTGCCTGGACTTTGGGCATGTACTGGGAAGAGGGAAGGACTTTTCTCAATTATAGGTGCTATACAGGGCTCCGCTCTCTGGTTTTTTGGGAGTAGGGGGTTCTCACTGGGAAGCCCCTCCCCCAACTGGCATTCAGTGGCTCTAGAACAGTTGCTACCCCCCACCCCCACCACCGCATAACCCACAAATGCAATCCTTGCCTAGCTGTTGCTGAAAGCCATAAAGTTTTGGGGACAAGGAAGGGGTCCGAGGTAGGGGTAAGGGAATGAGATTGCAAAAGGAGAGAGAGAGAGACAGAGAGAGAGAGAGAGAGAAAGAGAGAAGAGCTAGCCAGTGCCTTGGAGATTCGCCTCTCAACACCCATTTGCTTTACTTACCATCTCACTGTAGGCATCCTTGCTGAGCCTGGGAGTCAACTTGATGGTCCCCATGAAAACAAAGAAGAGTCCCAGGGCCACTGAGAGAGCCACAATAGTTACGGTTCTGGGGGATGCCATGGGGTCACCAAGGCAGATGCCAACTAAACCTTCGGTTTTGTGCACCCTGCCTGTCTAAGGCGCAGGCAGTTATCTCAGAGAGAGCAAGAGGGACGCTGCGGAGGCAGCAGGCAGCTAGAATGACAAAGGGGGAGGAGGGAGCTCTAGAGAAAAATTGAGAGATGAGATTCAGCCTCTCTCGCTATAACAATCTCTGGGTCCTAATGCCCTACTTTTCATTCCTATGGGCCAAAAACTGTTTGGAAATTAAAGGGAGCCCTAAACTGAGGCAGAAAGTTCAAGTCATAATTAGGAAAAGGGAAGTCCCACGTCGAATAGGAAAGACCTTTCTGCCACTTCCCTCCAGGTTCCTAATTTTTTGCTTTACTTATTCACTCCGTTTTCCACCTTTCCCTTTCTCTTACCTTTTGCTTTCCTGAAAGTAGAATTTCAAAGACTTATTGGCTTCCAAAGTTGGCAGCATTTAAGGATAAAACTGCAAAATTGCCAGGTTTGACTGCTGCCCAAGAAGGCCTTATCTTTCTCTTCCTCAAAAACCTCTAATGGTTCCCATTACTCCAGAGCTTTTATTTTTGTCATTCAAGATTCTCCGCATTTTGACCCCTGTTTTTGGACAGTCCTGAGATAGTGCAAAGGATCTGCATTGGATTATCAAGTGAAAAAGGAATTTCTGGTGGCTTAATGGTAAGGAGTTGTGCTGCCAAACCAAAGCCACGTGGTTTGAATCCACCAGCTGCTCCAGGGAAATAAGATGGACAATCAATCAATCTCCTCTGCTGCGCTTAAACCATTTCCGAAAACCCACGGAAGGGTCAGCTATGAGTTATTTCTGACTTAACAGTACACCAGCCATCACCACAACAGCTGAGTGAAAGGTTGGTGGTTCAACTCTTCTTTGTGATGCCACAGAAGAAAGTCTTGGTGAACTGCTTCCTTAAAGATTAAAGCCAAGAAAAAACCTGGGGAGCTCTTTTGTTCTGTGACACAAAGTTGCCATGAATTGGAATCTAATCAATAGCAACATGTTTTGATTTGGTTTTGGTTCAATCTTCCAAAACTTTGCACTGTCATGTGCCTCTCCTCATCTACTATCTACAATCTGAGTTTTGACACTGTTCTTTGATTAGATGCTTTTCTCACTCCATCACTCTCTATCCTTTAATGTCATAGCCACCTGGACATGATTTCTCCTTCCTCTTATTTCTTCTAATATCCAACATTTACTGGGTTTTTTTCTAGGCACCAGACACTGTCCTCTATACACATTAACTCATTTGTTTTCTACAACAACACGGGGATTATGCTTACCTTATGGATGGAGACACTGAGGCACAAGAAAGTTGAATAATTTGCATAAGACTGTACAACTAGTAATAGAAAAGAGTGTTGATATTTAAATCTAGGCAATCATTTCTGAAGCCTAGGCTCTTAACCTTTCCTATTACATTCTGTCTAGTTAGCATGACATTGAACTCAAACATACTAACGACTCTGAAGATGGAACAGGACAGGGCAAATATTTCTTTCTGTTACATATAAGTTCACTATGAGTTGGATCTGATTCAAAAGCAACTAACAATAGCGTGACATTTGACACTATTTAGTGCTGTAATTATACACACAAACTCATAACTTTATGAGAGATGTTGTTGACTAGAGCACAGAGGAGTCTTCAGAGGCAAACCCAGTTGGTCCACTGTTGGTATCCTAGTGCTGCCATTAATTGTGTGGCTTTGGAAAATTACTTAACCTTGATAAGACTTCATTTCCACATTTATAAAATATAGGCAAATATCCTGTCTCAAAGGATTGTTGTAACCCTTTCATGTATGTAGAGTGCCTAGCACAGGGCTTATATATGATAAGGACTCAGTGGAGATTATTCCCTATTTGGTCCTTCTACTTTCCTGTTTACATCCCCCCCAAAAAGGTGACCTGAGAATCATGCTGAAGATTATCTAAGAACAACTGGAACAGTACATCAACAACAAACTACCAGAAATACAATCTGGGTTTAGAAGAGTCTGATCTTGCTGAAAGCAAAGAGTATCAGAGGAATGTCTATCTGTGTTTCATTGACTATGTGCAAAGGCATTTGACTGTGTGGTTCACAACAAATTGTAGCTACCCTTGAAAAGAATTGGAATCCCAGAATACTTGATTGTGCTCATGCAAAACCTATATACTCAGACCAGGAAGCAGTCCTAACAAAAGAGCAAGGAAATGGCATGGTTCAAAATCAGTAAAAGAGAGCATCAGGGATGTGTCCTGTTTCCTTAACTTTTCAATCATTATGCAGAACAGATCATTCAGGAGACTGGACTCTCTGAAGAGGAGGAATGTGGCATCAGGATTGGAGGAAGATTTATCAACAACCTGAGTTATGTAGATGACACAACCTTGCTTGCTGAAACTGAGGACCTGAAACACTTGTTGCAGAAAGTCAAGGACCGTAGTTTTCAATATGGATTGAAGCTGAACATCAAGAAAACAAAGATTCTCACCACTGGGCCAAATTGGCAGCGCCATGATAGATGGAGAAGAGATTGAGATTATTAACAATTTCAGCTTTCTTGGCTCCACAGTCAACACTCTTGGCACTAGCAGTCAGGAAATCAAAAGACGGACTACACTGGGAAAATCTGCTTTCAGAGACTTTTCTAGATTACTGAGAAGCAACGATGTCAGTCTAGAGACTAGGGTGCGTCTGATCCAGACCATAGTCTTTGCAATTACTTATAATGCATGAGAAAGCTTGACAATGACTAAGGATAATAGAAGAAGAACCGATGCCTTTATGTTACGGTGCTGGAGAAGAGTATTGAATCTACCATGGACTGCCAAGAGAAAAAAGTCTGTCTTGGAGAGGGTGAAAGCAAGTTTCTCCTTGGAGGCTAGGATTTTAAAGCTTTGTCTCACATACTCTGGGCACGTGGCCAAGAGAGACTGGTCCTTGGAGAAGGATATTGTGCTCAGAAGCTGGAGGGACAGCACAGTAGATGAAGACCCCAATGAGATGGATTGACACAGTAACTGGGTTAATGGGAGTAGGTATGTCTGAGTTAGTGAGACTGGCTTAGGATAGGGCAGGATTCCAAGCTGTCATACATAGTGTCGTTATAAGTTGCAGGCTACTTGATGGCCCATAACAACAACAACAACAACAACCTTCCTGATGTACCCCACAAATAGATTAAGGAGCTCATCGACAGTCAATACAGACTTCTCCCTTGTTTTCCAAGGTTGTGAATAAATTATATAGGGAATCTGGTGGTCTAATTCTAAGTGAGTTGTACTGCTAACCCAAAGATTGCACACCTCTGACTATTCTTTTATTAGTCTCATTACAGTTATTATTTATGAATAGATAAAACATCTCATATAAAATGTAACTTTAGTTAGATTAAGACATATTAAAAATACTATCAGGTCGTATAGCCCTGGTGTGTCCACTTGCTGTACAGCAGTAACTTGTGGTTGTTGTGAGGCTGATGTGTCAAATGCGTTGGTTACCCAATGCAGACAGTGTGGGCTGAAGCTCCCCGATTAAAACAAGCTTGGAAGGAGGAGTGGCATCCACTTCCATAATAGCTTGCCTCCAGAAACCCTATGAATCTGGAAAGAGGATGAAAGACACCAAAGCATTGAGGACTCTCCTTCATAGGGTCTCTATGAGTCACCTGCGACTCGACAGCACTTAACAACAACAACAACAACAACAACAACATCATGCCATATTTTCCTACATAATTTTGTAGAACTAATGAAAGAGCAAATTTCACCAATTTTAGACAGCTTATATTTGGAATATGTAAGTATGGTGAGGTATTAACTAATCCTAAATTTGGCATCCACTTCCTAAACGACATGCCTCTGGACACTCTATGAACGTTGATAAATGACGATAGTTATAGAAAGGCTTCAGACTTTTTGTTCATATGATCCCTATGAGGCATGCTCAACTCGATGGCAATCAACAAATCAACAACAAATTTCACAATAGGCAGCTTCTAGATGGTCGTTAAGGTTGCATCTTGGCCATACAAGGATCATGGGACAACAACATAGTTGAGCTGGATTAGAGCAACCCAATTGTCTTAATAATGAATGATCTACACTGTTTTAATTGGTTCAAGTTGCATCACAGGCTCAAGTACAGCAATGGCAATTGGAGCATAAGCCTGGTAATAGGTTGTTTGGACCCCATGATCAGAATAAGTCTCCAGACCTGAAGATTCATTCCATCAGAAATAGTGAAGGAGAAATACATCTACCATCTTGTGCAAGCAATTTCCACTGCCTGATAAATAATCTCCAAAAGTTGCAGATATAGGAATGGAGCAGAAGAAGAAAGTAACTATGGAATACCCCACTGCCACTGTCCTGATAGACATTGTGCAGAGGCCTGGTATATGTGGGTTGCTGATAAACTGGTTGAGCTACAGTGACAGGGGAACTAGACATAGAACATGAAGACCAAGGTAGTGGGACAGACATTATCTCTGGAGTATGAAAATAAGCAACACCATTATGATAGATGTAAGGATAGCTTGTTGAAGTTGTTAGATACATTGTTCCATCTGCTGGCAAGATACTGGAACTAGGTGATTCCTACTTGTTTCTTATTGCTGGACCAATGCCCAGTTTCTTATCTTTATAGTTAAGTTTTTCTGCCTCTTGTAAAATTTTTTAGCTGCTTCTTGTGTTTCAAATGCGATGAACTCCAGCTCTGCCATTTACAACCTTCACTTCTTTTATTGACCCATACCAGGGAAATTTTTTTTCTTAAATTATTTCCATTTGTTTTAAAGTCAATTCCTCTTACAAAGGTGTGATTAGAGACCACTGTTCCATAGCTTGGGGCACTTGTTGAGCTATTCAAAGGCACAAGTGACATGGGATAAGGGGATGGAGATAATGAATCTGTTTATGTTTTATTTTATGTTTGCTCCCAGAACTTGGGCTCTATCTTCTCTGAGTGTCAAAAAAAGATGGGAAAACATTTCTAACTATTCTAATCCACCAGTTCTATGGTGGAAAGATGAGCAGTCTCCTCTTGTCATTTACAGCCTCAGAAACCTGATTGGGGGGGGGTTCTGTGAGTCAGTTCTGACTTGACAGCAGTGAGTGAGATAAATCTTTGTGGAAGGAGACTG